CGTCACTAGTGGCGTCTTAGAGCTTCGGGGGACAAGAAAATGACAGAAATGAGGGTTATGACAAGGCTTTCTATGTACAGCAGGCATGTTGGTTTAAAACTCCGAGGATATCTCACCTCTGCTGGGTTATGGTGAAGACCGACTTGCTAACAATTCGCTTTCCAGTATGCCAAATGCGTCCAATGTACTTGATGCGCTGAATGGCAATGATGGCCAGGGCTACAGTCCTATTGGTTAAATAAAATTATTAACAAAAGTTATAATTAAAAAGTAATAACGTCTTACTTGAACTTCTTTTTAATATTTCGCTGTACAGGCGGTGGTCCTCCTCGGAGATTTTGCAGAGCCAGCTGCTCACTGGCCTGGTAGCCTTCCAGGGTTAGTTTCAAATACCGCTTCTGGTAGACCAATGCCTTGCGATGGGACTCCACTCGCAGGTAGCGACCGATTAGCTGCCGGCAGCGCTCCTCCAGCTCTGCCACATTGGTATTGCCAGATCCACCCAGTTCCTCGCATTTCTTTTGCAGCGCAATCCTCTCACCCACCAGGAACTGGACTGTCTCGGCCATCTGCCTGTTCTCCTGGGTATTCTCCGCCACCAGGGCATTGATCTCTTGCATCTTTTGGAGAAACTGTGCCGGCACATTGTCATCCGTGCTATGAGCGAGACGATCATTGGCCTGGGCCAGAGCCTCGGCCAGCTTGGCTTCCCTTTGACTGGAACGACTCACATCGAATCGCAACTGGGTGACCTTTTGATCCAGGCAGTCCCGAGCTGCTTCGGCGGCCAGGAGTTTTGATTTCAGTTCATGGATCTCGGCCTGGAGCTTCACAGTTTCCTGGTGCTGGCGGGTGCGAGTGTTGGCTCTTCGCGTTTCCGCCTCTTGGAGGGTAACCAGTCTGGCCTCCAGGCTCTCGATCTCAGTGGCTTGCAGGGTCAGGCGCTCATTGAAGTGTTCCAGTTCGAGTTCAGCTGATTCCTTGTCCCGAGATAGCTTTTCCATCTCCTGTTTTAGTCGCTCGCAGTAGGCCACCCGTTCTTGGAGCTCTTTTTCGAACCGCTGGCGTTCCCGCTCGTTGTTTCTCTGGGCATCCGCATAGCGCTCCCTTTCCCTCTCGTTTTGGGCCGCCAGTAGCTTGATTTCACTGCGCAGGCGATCTCCAAGTTCCGTTTCAAAGTCGGCTCTTGGGGACTTGCGAGGGGAATCATTGGGGGATTTGAGGAGCAGAGAACTATTCCGGCGACTCTCAGCTCGCTGCAGGGAAGTTAACTGAGTCTGCAGTCTCTCGCAACGTTCTCGTTCCTGATCCAACTGCTTGTGCAGCTCGTCCTCCTCATCCAGAGCGGTTTCCAGTCGCTTTCTCATGGCCTCGATGATCACTACATCCTGCTCTTGGATTTCCTGAGAGTGCTGCTTCTCGCCCAGCAACTCCTTGCTCAAGGCCTCACATTGCTCCCTCTCCACGGCCAGTTGAGCCTTCAGGGCTTCCAGTTGGTTTAGCAGCTCCCGCTCGCCGGTGAAGTTCTCATCGTCGGTGCCGTTGCCAGTGCCCGGCAGATGTTCCTCCTCCGTTTGAACCTCTTTCTGCAGCAGCTTCTTGTCCAGATTGTTCTCCTCCTCGCTTTCAATGGCCTTTAGAATATTGGAATCCAACTGGGCGGAGTAGTTTAGTTCCTTTTCCACCTGCTGGGCGATTTCGTCCACGGAATACTGCTTCGAGCTATTGTCGCTGTTTTTGAGACGTTCCAGATCCCTTTCTAGGCTTTGAACTTGGAGTTCCAGCTCAGTGCAGCGACGTTGAGAAGCCTGCAGTTGATCAGCCTTGAGTTTCACTTCCCCATTGAGGACTTCCAGCTCCCTCTTACGGGCAGCAGCCGCATCCTCGCACTGCTCATGCGCAGCACTGACACAGTTGAGTTCTCGGCGGAGATTCTCGCGCTCGGCGGCCTCCTGGGCGGCTGCCTCGAGAATCTTGGACTCTAGAGATTCAATCCGGAGTCTGTACTTCTGCTCACTTTCCTGGTGGCTGCGCAGGCTTTGGGCCTGGCGACCCAGTTGCTCCTGCTCCTGCTGGAGTTGCTTTTGCAAATCCTGTAGCTTTGTTTCCATTTCGGATTGCTGACGCTGCTTCTCCTTCTCCAAAATGGTTAGCTTTTGGCGCAATTGTTGGACTTCCGATGGCGTTGTGGGTTTGGGCATTTCTGGGGTTTGTATCAAGAGACTTGGGGTCTTTAGCTTGGAATCCTCTGCCGTGAGATTGGAGAAGTTGATTTGGCGTGGCACTAGACCTGGTGTGAGGCCATCACTACTCTGGGCTGTAACACCCAGGGCCTGGAAGTAGTGCGGATGCTCAAAAGTGTTCACGGGATAAGGAGCCACAAAGCCACTTAAATCGTCGGTGCGCTTGTGTGTTAAGTTGGCAACCGCTTCCTTGGATGTTTCCTGCAGGGATAATAGGGATTTTAAGTTATGGTTTTAGGCTAGCAACCCTCTATAAAGACTCACCATTGTGTGATGCAGGAAGCCACCCGCCCCTTCGCTGATGTGAAGGCCAGGAGCATTCAGACTCAGCATCGCTGCTCTCCTGTCCACATCCGGTTCTGGATACTCTGAAATCGATCCAATGTCGCTCAGTGTGCGGGCACTCGACTTGCCACCCGAGTCCTGCTTGCCTCCCGCATCTCCAGCTCCTAGTCCCGCTACTGGTGTGGAACGCAGACTTCCATCTTGATGAACAGCCTGGAGCTCCTTCTCCTTGGCTTCCAGTTGCTCGCGCAGGTGATCGATCTCATCGTTCTTGTCTGCCAGCATGGTTTCCATAAGATCGGGCAATGCCAGTCGGTTGATCATCTCGGTGCGTATCTTCTCCTTCAGTTTACCGATTTCAGTACCTTTCTGCTGCACTTCCGCCTCCAGTTTCTCCACCAGACTGCGATCTGGTTGGGTGCGCACTGTGAGCTCCGCCTCCAGGCGCATGATCTCATCCTTGCTGCGTTGCAGTTGCTGCCGCACGGTAGCCATTTGCTTGTCCCTTGCGGCCAACTGCTCGCTTAGATTCTGGACTTCGCCCTGGAGTTCATGGACCCGGGTATTGAGGTCAGAGGTGCCAGCACGGTGCAATTGCTCTGCCCGTTGGCGCTGCTCCTCCAGGCGGTTCTGCAGCGTTGATATTCTTTGGGTCTGCTCGTCCATGCGACCCTGCAGCGAATCCCTTTCATGTTGGAGTTCCTACAAAATAATAAAAGTAATATTTTAGTTAAACCCTTAAGAGAAAGTATACACTAGTTGGTACTTTAATAGTTTTTTTTTATTTTTATATTCTTTTTCCAAACACTAAAGCCTTTTTTTCTCTGTACAGAGTTTTATTTCAAGTGGTCAAGTGGTTAGTTCTGGATGTCTGTTTCAATTTTCCATTTAAGAACCATGTGTGGGAGCTGTCTGTTTAGCAGTCAATGGCCGACCATTTGACCATTGACTTCATCTGCATTTAACCCTTTCCAACTTCAATTAGATTGGCTGTGTATGCCAGAAGAGTTCGGTTACATAAAAAATAAACTCACTTATTTAATCTAGGGAAATTGATTTGAACTTTTTTTAGATGAATTAGGAAATGTTTTAAATTATGACTAATATTACATCCTACTAGAGTAATATCTTCTTACTAGTTTTATCAATCTCCTAAAAATGAATCAGTATTTAAAGCCCTCCTCATAAAAAGTATAAACGCTATCTTTTTTAGATATTTCTTTCACAGTTCCCTGTATCTCAGAAGTTGTACTTGTCTTGCTTTTGTTTTTTGTTTACTCGGCTGTGATGCAGTTTTATTTATGCGGGCCTGCATCCAGCTTCCCCAACAATCGCCAACAGCCCCCTTTTTTTTTGCTTTCACTTCTTTTCTCCCCCAAAAGAAAAATAAACCATCACCCTGTCAGAACAGCGGGATGCATCGTGCCATAGCATAAAGAAATTTATTGAGGCATTACCGCATATTAGTCTTTCGATTGGGGTTCAGTGCGAATGCATATTGTAAACAAGCTCCAGTTTGTTTGGGTTTTCAGCCTTCACTTTTTCTAAGCGACAATAAATGGTATACTCCGGGAGTGTGATGGAAATGTGTCAGTTTTTAAACGGGCGCCAAGTGATTCAAGTGGCACGGAAATAGGCGTGAAAATATAACAAACATATCTATATATTGCAGCTATTTTTGAAGTGGAACAAACAGGGAACTGGGAGCCACTGGCAGACTGTGTGCCAAATTCCTACAATATTTGCATCATAAATCAAGCCTGGGCGAAAATATTATGACAACTAGGTGGCACAACCAATTCAATTATTTTATTTATTTATGACACTGAACCAACTCGGAATTCATCAAAACAAATAAACACAGCCAATTGACATTCACAAAAGAACAGCCTTGATCGGATATTAAAGTCTTTCCTCGAAAAACTCACTCTCTTTGCCTCAAAATTGGGCACAATCTTCGGGAACTGAAACATTTTTGGATCTTGAGCGTATTATTCGGGGCTTATCAGATAAATTTTAATTGAAATACATATATTTATACACAGATATACATATGTATATATTTTGGTTTCACATATATGTTTGTGCTTTTAACTTTTTAAAAACATTGTCAATTTATGAGAAGACATTTCTTCCGCTTTCAACCGTTCACAGTGCCATTCTGAAGGCAAATGAGGGATATTTTTTGATAGAGTGCAGGTCGGAGAATATTCTTCTTGATGCTCAGTTTCAAGAGTTATCAGAAGAGAGAACAAACAATTTAAATATAGAACCAAGCGTTGAATTCAAAACATATTAGGCTGAAACACGAACCATTTTCTTTGTGGTGAGTAAGTTTCAGACACAAACCCTACCAGTTCGAAAACTTCCAGCCCTTTTGGAATATTTATAAAATTAATAAATTTAAAACCAAGTAGCCAACATTCCTAAAGTCTTTCGTTAATTTCCATACATTTCCAAAACATTTCATACTATAAAACCAACAACATCATATTTCAGGCTTGTAATAATTTTGTAGAAATATTGTAAAGAATTTTTGGTAAATTTATAAGTTACTTGTTTTTGGAACTTTTAGTAATACGAGAATTATCTTTCAGTAACCAAATCAATAGCATGGATTCTATTTTCGATTTTGAGGAAATATCCAGTTCTTTCATCGATCAGTACTACGGCCTTTTCGATGATCCTGACAAGCGAGAGGAATTGTCCAATTTCTATAACTCTTCTAGCTCTTTGCTGAGCTTTCAGGGCGAACAGATTCCCGGTCCAAGAATTAGTGATAAGTTTTATAGTCTGCCGAATCAACGGATCAAGCGTATTGTCAGATCAATGGACGCGCAACCCGTCGGCGATGATAGAATACTGATCCACGTCCACGGGGTCTTGCAGTGCGAGGAGGACTTGCCCCAAAACTTTTCTCAGGTCTTCTTGCTTCAGAGCGGTGAGCATGGCTATTTCATAGCCCACGATATTTTCCGAACTCAAGTTATCTAAAGATGAGTAAAGTTGGGCAGTGAAGATTGGGCAATATTTCCAAGTTCCTCTTCATATTTTCTCAAAAAAACCAAAAATTTATCAAGTTTCAAATATTCGGTATTGTCCATTATCGGCTTTCAAAATTAAATTTGAAGATGTATCTAGTTTTTGTTGTGGAAATGGAACTAAAGATTTTAAACTAAAATCCAATTTTTCCTTAGCAAGGCCACCAACCCGCACTCTTTCGAACTTAAATTAGCATAGACACAATCCGCAATGGAATACTCACCACACAGCCAGCGCGCATTTGTTGGACCTGCATCTCCAGGTCACGAATCCTCTTGATAGCCGCCTCCTCGACTCGGGTGTGCTTGTCCAGCTTTTCGGTTACCCGCTGGACGCCTTCTACCGTGAGGGAGCGATGCGAGGGAGATCCGTCCGCCGTGACAGGCCTACTTCCAGGACGGGAGACATCCTCCGTGACACTTAAGCTGCACGAATTGGAGGCATTGTTGGAGTTGTGTAGCGACTCTAGGACTTTGGTCTTCTGCTCCAGAGTGGTTTCAATGTCTCGCAGCTTTTCGGCCACTTGCCCCAGAATAGCACCCTGTTCACCGGTGGCCCTTCCTTGCTGCAACTTCTCCTCCAGCAGGCGGATCCTGGACTGGTAGCCCTCGCCAATGTCGGTCTTCAGGCTGTGAACTTCCTGCTGGAGGGCATCGTTGTCTCGTATCTGCAGACTGACATACTCCTCCAGTTGCTTGGCCTTCTCTGCCAGGACTTGCTCGTTGAGGGCCTTGGTCTGGACCTGGGTTTCCAGCTCCGAGATGATCTCTCGCAGTACGAAGATCTTGTCTATCGAAGCCTTCAGTTCTACTTCGAATTTGTCCCGCTTGGCATTGGATTCGCTCAGCTGATGGTTGACTTCCCTTAACTGGGCCTCCAGTTGGGCATACTAAAGGGAATTAATTAATTAATTAGCATTGGTTTTAAAGAATTAACTATTAATCTGTGGTGCGATGTAAAGAATGAAAGTGTGGTGCGGATTTCAGTATAGTGACAAACTTACATGCCGGTTCTTCGCTAAATTCGACTAATTTTTCGAGTGGTGCACACGCAGTGGGAAAAAGGGGTATCAAGTGCAACAATTTTGGATTTTAATTGCAGTTGGGGTTGAATTTTGTTAGGTGCATGCAAAGATTTATAGATATATAACATTAGGTTTGGTATTACAAATAAATTAGTGAACATCAAGAGGTTAAAGAACAGGGAACCAAAATTATTTTAAAACCAAAAGCACAAACCAAAGACATAAAACATTTATAGTTTTAAGTAATTAATCTTTAACCAATAATAGTCCTCTTTATAAGCCACTTAAAAAATGTAGTGATATTGCAATTAATCTTCCATTCACGCATATAACTCATCGCAGGCATTTTGTAACACTTTTCCAAAGTGACATTGAAAAGATTCTCGGAGAACCCCCGGAGATCTTAAACTTGAGAATCTTTACTAAATGGAATCCGATTGAAACATTCAACTGCGTATATCCGAGGGTCTATAAATATGTCGGCACATGGCTACAAAAGCTTTGGATATACTTATAGGTATATACACAAAAAAAATACATGCCGCCCTTGACTCCATTGAAGAGTCAGCCCCCTGAGGGGATTCACTTTATGCCCAACAGGTGCCATCATGCGATGTTGTAAGTAAATATTTGTGCAATTAATAGTTAATAAAGATGAGGAAACAAGCTAAAGTAACTTAAATACTAATATCTATTTCATAAACTTAAAACAAACACTAAGACTATGGAAACATAACCAAAAGATAGAGAAATACAGAGGGAGACTTGGTAGACCCAGGCAAAAAATGTAAACAGAAACGAATGGCAAACCAAAAGCCCATAAAACAAAACCAAGATTCCGAACAAGATCCAGACGATCCTGGATGAGAACGGAGTATGAGGACTCACCTCCTCGGAGGCATTGGCATAGGAGCTGTGCTCCTTCTCCTTGTCGCGTAACTGAGCCTTCAGCCGCTCGATTTCGCGCTGGAACTCGTCACGTTCCTGTTCGCGTTCGGCGGCCTGATCCTCCAGGAAACGCCGAGTATCCTTCAGCTGCTTGTCAGCGGTATCGATCTATGTTTGTGGGGTGTATGCAGGTAGGAGGGATTGGTTCAGAGGTTGGTTGGTAAGTTCATAAAAACCTGGCTCTTATACTTGGCTTACAGACTACTCGAAATTTATTTCGGATTTTAAACAAGTTTACGGGTCATGCGTTTATCACTTGAAATTATTCAGGGGGGGGCAGGGGTTAAACATCTAAGAAGTAACCCAAAGTGTGCCCATAACTCACCTGAGATTGCAGATCTTCCCGATCCTTTTTGCCGCACTCCACCACTTTGTCTCCCTCGCGGCAAAAGTCTTCAATCATTTGGAGCAACACCACAGTGGAATTGGCCTGGTCCCTGGATGGCTGCTCCTTCACGGGGGACGAGGAAAGCAGGTGACGGGCTCGCTCCTGGAGGGCAGCAAAACTGGCGGAAGATTGGTCCAGGCTCTTCAGCGTTCCCAGGCCATAGCCCTCGTTATAGTCCGTGTGGTTAAGGGAATTCAGCTGGGACAGCTGATCCCTCAGGGCCTGGAGTTCCTGCCCCAGTTCGGCATTCCGGTCGATTGTGTGGGTCAGTTGCTGCTGCAGTTTCTGGCGATCCGTCTCCGACTTGATTAACCGATTCTTCAACTCCACCAGCTGGAAGGAGAGCTCCGATGCATTGCCGGCATGCTGCTGGAGGTCTGGCGGGAGAGAGCTATGGGTTTTTCCCGCCTCTGGGTTACTGTTCTTGCGCTGACTGGCCACTCCCATTTGCTGATCATTCAGGGAATTGGTGCGCAGGAACTTGGCAAGCACCGATTGCTGCACTGCGGCAGCTGTGGTCTTCAGGCCATCCTCTGCCTCGCAACACAGCTCATGCTCCTGCTTCTCCTGCTCTTCCTCCACGGACTCGTTGTTTTGGGGACGCTGCTTATTCAAATCCTCCGACAAATGCAGGAGGTAGGATGCCTCCGACTTCAACCTCTCCAGGCAGTCGTTCAAGTCAAAGTCCTCGCTGGGCTCTTCGTTGCTCTTGCTGTCGATGAACTGCAGCAAACTGGGATCCTCGACCACTTCCAGCAGACTGTGCACATCCGGCACTCGGAGCATTTGCCTGGTGTTGTTCAGGGAACTGCTGAGGGTAACCTCCAGATCGTCGCCTCCATCCTGACTGCGGCTGTGGAGCAGCAGGCGCTGCACCTCCTCCGACAGCGTGGCATTCAGGTCCTCCTCGCAGTTGGCCACGCACTTGGCCAGTCGACAGAGCACCGAGCGGAAACTCTTCGACAGTTCCCTGAGGCCATCTCGTTCGCAGATCACCTGCTCCAGGTCCCTGGCCGCATCGAAGGTGAGGTGACGCTTGTTCTTCCGGTTCAGCTGCTTCTCGTATTCTAGTTTCAGGCGCGACATCTGGAGGAAACCGTTTTAGTTTTTTATTAAACAATATTTTCCATTAATCCCCCTAGATGTACCCACCTCGTCGGCATGTTTGATATTCAGCTGAGTAATCTCCAGTTGACTCTTGGCCGTAAACTTCTCCCGCAGCAAGATCAGCTCCTTGGGCCAGTGCTGATCGTCCACGGTGTTCTCCGACAGCAAGTTCTACAACAAAAAAGTGCAATTTGTTTATTTCGATTAAAGTTTGTGTTTATGGACAATGTGTGAAAATCTGTGGCAACATTCGGTTGCATATTGCATTGAAAAGTAAGAGAAAGCTTCAAGCTTTTGTGGAACATTTTCTCACATAAATATTTATGGCTTTAACTCAAAATATTTACATGATGTTCTGGGTTTTTTGATTCTTGTTTCTGAGTTATTCCCTCGAGGGTGCCAAAGACGGAAGCAAAGTCGGAGATACATAAATCTTAATAAAAATCAACCCCAACTCTGAAGGGAACTGAAGTTTTATTTTCGGATCATGCTATACCCTCTAAATATATATATATTTATACTCAAGTGTGTATAATGATTCAACCACATTAAATACAATTGAATAAAAACAGTATGAGGCCTAGGAGTGACGATTTTATTGGATTATCATTGCAACTCTCTTATCGCCCTGCGGTTCTCAGCTACCCATCTCAGTCACTCTCACTGAAGCTATCTCTTTCTAGGGGTTTTATATAGAGGGGTCGTGATCCCGGGCGATTGTGATTATTCTTTGTTTTCAACAATTTACAATACTTAATGCTTTAGGTAGACTTACAGCAAGTTACACATTTTTAAAAGCAATTATATAAATTTTGTGAAATGTTAGAGAAAAAGCAACCAATCCTCTGATCCTATATACCTAAAACGCACTGTAGTATAGTAAATATTCTGGTTCTCTGAATGTTTATTTGGAAACCACACGTTTTTCCCAAAGTTTCCCGGCGCAGTTTTCCCCTCAAAATCGTTTTGTGCGAAAAAATTTGAATTTTATTTTCGTCACTTGCAATTGTACATTTCTTGAACTGCATATAGTACAATATATATATATGTGAAGGAATACGTGTACTTGGTGCATTGCTACTATATATATTTTTAGATCTTTGCATAACGAGTTGTGCGGCAATAAATCTCCAAACGAGCTGCGATATAGGCTCTAAAATCCAAAATAGAAACCTGAGAGTGGTTTCTTCTTTATTTTTTCATGTTGAGCAGCAAGGCCAGTAGGCTGTAGGCTTGGTTCATGGTCTGAAATGTTGGATAGCTTTAAAAAAAAACATTGATTTCTAAACCCTAAATCTTGAGAACCTTTGTGAAGAGCGGCAATCCCACTGCAAAGAAGCCACACGCTCTGAGGGACACTGGTCTGTTTAGATAACTCATAAACATGAGAACGAATCGACGCATTTGGGGACTCATGTCTGGCCAATCGCAGTTATACAGAGCATTCGGCAACTTGTCAGCTGAATAGGTCACATTAGTGCCATAAATACTGGGTATGAGTATTTCAATAACCATGCAGGACAAGTACTGGAGCATCCCATAAAATCTACCAAAATCCTGCTTGATAGGACTCTGAAATGATCCACAAAGTTAGGAGGTGCTGCCGAATATCCTTTGAAGCACTCACCATCTGAATACTGTAGATGGTGAAGCATATTATCAAGGAACTGACCAAAATCTGGGTAAAAACGCTCTTCGACACATAGGTTTCGATGTCCCTGGCCTGCCGTTTCAGGTCCTGATGAAGCCTCACCAGCTGCAGGAACTTTTCCCTAACATTCTTGTCCTCGTGGCTCAGGGAACTCAATCTCTCGCCCAAGATCCTGAAGCACAGGGAGAGATGCAACATAAAGTACCAGTTGACGGCATCCATCGTCACGTTGCATATGCAGATGACAGGTATGGTGATGACTTGGTATATGAAGGGATACCAAAACAGGTCGGGATTGTGCCAGTCGAAGGGTGTCCACATGTAGAACGGCAGCTTGTTGGGAATATCGAACAAGGGCTGAATGCAAATGAATGGAATCACTCCAAAGCTGCACATTATGTAGGAGATGGCCACTCTTGTGAACCGACGATGCTCGAATTGAAACATTTCCACCTCCTTGAGGCTTCTAAGCTTGAACTGCTCCTGGGTGCTCCATTCGTGGAGGAGTCTCTGGGCCACATGCGACAGCTTCCAATTATTTAGAATTTTAGCTCCCAGGGCTGTGGTGGTCAAGCAGATGAGCAACACATCGGAGGTATGCTGGATATCATCGCTTAGGATAACCTCCACCCACATCGCCGCTGCAAAGAGCAGGGTAAAGGGCACTTGCAGCATATATGCCTTCCAGTTGGCCCAATCCTCTCCTGACAAGCCGTCATCCTTGGGCCACAGACGGAAAACCCGCAGAATGGCAGTCAGGAGTCGCACTGGTCGGACAAGATCGTAGTCCATATTTCACTTTTAAACTTTGATTAATCCAAGTTCTTACTTCGGGATTCATTTTATAGGAGAACGGTAATTGATTTGGCTAATGGCTTAATTTTGGGGGCGTTACCAAGTCCTTGGCCTTTTCAATTAAAATTCACTTAACCCAGACCAGTTGGCTTACTTTACAAGTGACTACAGTTCCTTTTCTATATGAAAGGCAATCTAATGCCATTAAAATAGATAAGTTAAGTCTAAAAGTCCCGAGAATCGAAATCTCTAGAGGAAATCTTAATATTCATTTTTAAAGCCGTTTCAAGAGCCCGGAAAGTTGACTAAATATAAACCAAAATAAAGATCCAAGATACTAAGAGAGCCCGAAAATTTTGCGCCTGAAACAAAAATAAACTCCTACCGAAACAAAATGCGCCTGGAAATGGAAATTCTTCGGTTTTAATTTCTTTCTTTTTTGGGGAGAAAGGGCAACGACTTCTTTAGTTCGATTGGAAGAAGACAAATCTTTGACAAAGTGCAGACTTTGTTTGTTTATTTAGTCTGTGTTTTTCGGGGGAGTTTTTTCGAATTTGAGTGATGGACATTTTGACTGAAGACTCTTCAAAAATTGAGTTTGCTTACTCTAATTGTTCTCCTTTTGGATCAGGAGTTTCCTGCTTATATTTTTCCAAAAATCCGTTACGATTTGAATCCAGACGCGGCGATTTCACACAAATTTCCAATTAATGGACACAATGATAACTCAATTAGATTGTTTTGTATACACTCTTATTTTTTTCCGCTTTTTGGCAATGATTTGCCTATTTCACTTTTCACAAGAACCACTTGAAGATCATTAAGATCTATAGATTCTATAGCACATATAGGAGAGAAGAGGTTGTGTTCTCTTTGGGTCTCTTGAAAAAAAACGTTTTTCTTGTATATATTTGAATAAATGATCCGATCTAGGCGGAAGCGTGCGTACGGATCGAAATAACGCAAAAGAATGAGATGTTTTTGAAGCAGGCACCCTAATTTTATACGAGAGAGTACTTTGTACGGCTTGTAGTGCGAGACAAGCAGTGTACTGCTTTCTTTTCATGCTCTCTTGCTGTGCGTGTTGAATTTAATTCAAATTTATGAGCGTTAATTTGAAATAGCCAGCCAGCGAACTCCTCTCTATTTATTTACTCCAATTCTCTCTGGGGGAGGAAGACACGTACCCCACTTTACCCCATTATTTTCATTATTTTCAATCCCCAACTTGAGCCACTCTTCACACTTCCGGCTCTGAATTTATGATCTTCGTTCCATGACATGATTAAATGTGGTGTGAAGTAAATAAAATATAACGCCCTGCCTTGACAAACAGGACAAGCACATGGTTTTCATTCAAATAACATTTGGCGGGCTATACTATGTTTGTATAGTCTCTAGAATCTTGGGCAGAATGTCTGCGAATTTTGTTGGCAAACAGAGAGATAGCCCCCATCTGATACATATAAGAAACTATTTTTTGACAGCATAAGTGGGGCGGTAAATATTTTGTGAACAGTGGTGGGGTATTGTAGACAAATGATTCTGAGGTTTACTTATTTATATAGAGAGTATAATACAGTAAAATATTAATATTTAAAGCACTTCTAAATGAATATAAATAAGCTACAATAATACTTTATATTCATTCATTTAAATTCTTCAAAAAACTATAAACTTAGAATATATTTCTTAAATACCCGCGACCTTATACCAATATCTACTGTATCCCCCGTATAATATCCAGTCGTCTGACCTTCGTTGGATTTATTTTAGTTCCTACAAAAGAAATACTTAAACTGTCTCTGCCAAGAAGCGCCACCGAAGGGGAGGTCTTTATCCATCCATATAGTCACTTCCTTCCCCAAACTGTGTGACACGTGGCCACCATATTTGGTAAGGTAGTGCGGAGTGATGTGGCTGCTGCTGGAAAGGATTGGGCCTTCTGTCAACGTTCCGTGGGGATCATTGACTGCCAGGTATAAATAGACACAGCCCCAGGTATCAAAGAGCACACAGATTTAATGCTACATAATTCAAAGTGAGTTGAAAGTTCTTTTGGCACACGTTTTGTGGCAGCATGATGTTTAATGTTGCTCTGCCTTCTGTGTCTTTTATTTTGGTTTTCTTTTATTTTTTTTGCTTTAATTTCACTTTTTTGGCTACTTGACAACATTTTGCACGATTTTTTTTCTAGGCAAGTTGCGTGCGCCGCGTTTAAAAATAATTTATGCTCCGAAAGAGTTTAGTTTCTTTTTTTAAAGAGATGCCTTAAGATAAAACTCTAATCATTAGAGTGAATCACAGACCAATGTTTACACTGTTTCTTAGATTAAAAATAGAGTTTTTAAGATTTTTAATAATTAACAACATAAAACACAACGTGCTGTAAGTTCATGCCACATGCCCTGTTGCACCTTGCCGCCTTTGCCGCTCACCTGTATGTGCTGCTCCAGCTCGTTGGCGATATCCTGCCGGGCCAGAGCCAACTGCTCCTGAAGCCTTCGCTCATACTCCTCGATGATGCGCTGTATGACCTGAGATTCGTTATTGAAATTCAACTCATCCTCGTCGATGATGATGAGGGAGGTGTTGGCGAGTCCTCCGGGGGATGATTTATCCGCGGATTCCGCTACCGGGCAGGTACGAGCGGGCGATCTGGCTTCGGGCTGGGTTAGTTTTGCATTTTGGGTGGCGATGACAGGTAGTTACAATTGGTTTAGTTCGTTTAATTGGGTTATAAAGTTGGGCGAACGAGAAACGAGAATAAACATGCACGGTTAGGATCAGTTAGTCAAAGACAAGCTGCGTTTTAAGGACTATGTGGGACTGGTTTACAAACCTTGTAGTCATCATCTCCCTGGCGGCGTTCATAGAACTTGAGGCGATCGTTCAGTTTGCGCACCTGATCCTCGTGAGCTCTCTTCAGCTCATGGATGTGGGTCTGGTAGAAAATCTTCAAGTCAGCAACTTCCAGGGTGTTCTAGAAAAAGAGAGATGGATACAATTTAATATAAGCCTCGATTAATCCAAAACTCCCACTCACATCTCGACTAGCTTGATCCGCCTGATTGGTTTCACCCAGGGAGTCCAAGCCACATGGAGTCATCTGACGATGACTGGGACTCAGCAACAGCTCAGCCCGTTTCCTTTTCCGTGGCGATGGTTCTTTTGAAGATACGGCTGGGGCCACCATCTCCTCTGGCATTTGATCCACCTCGGAGCACTCCGAGGAGCTATCACCGCCCAGGTGCTGGGATTTGTGCGAGAAGACATCGTCGGAGAACTGCTTTTCCAGGTCGGCGCACTTGTGCTCGAAGTACTTCCGCAACTCCTCCATCTCCTTGGCATGAGCCACCTGCTGCGTTTGTTCGATGGTCTGTTTCTCACTCTCCCACTGGTCCCTGGCGATCTTCAGCTCCTGGGCGTTCTGGTCCCGGCACAGGGCAAGCTGTTGGCTCAAATAGTCATCGAACTTGCGTTGAACCATCAGGAAGATTCGCTGTTCATTCGGCAGCAGATAGCTGTGGAACTGCTCGATTTGCTTGCTGAAAGCTGGAGTCCACTCCGGATTCAGGTGCTCCAGACCCAAGTCATCGATGGGATGCACATTGGGTAGCTGTCTTTCTTTGGAGCTACGTGATCCCCGCTCCTCGTTGTCGGTCAGGAAATGCCGATCCAAGTCATCATCGCTTTCGCTAATCAGATCCATTGAGATTTCCGACAGCCGCTGGCCAGGATTGGATTCCTGCTCGGGCCAAACGGCACTCGAGCGTTTCACAGCTTCGATGGCATCTTGGAGTTGGCGGCGCAGGTTCTGTACTTCTCCACCCAGACGATCTGCATCCGTTTGCAGCTTTTCTCGGACGTTCAGGGACTGCTGCAGGGAGTCGGTAAGCTTGGCAATCATTTCATCTCTGCGGGACATCTCCACGTAAATGTCCAGGGTCTGTGGATGGTCACAAGTATTAGATAATGAAGCTTTATTAAGTTAGGGATTACTTACTGGTCCTCCCAGTTCATCCTGCAGCGTGCGGTACTCGGTGGAGTTGGTCATCAAGGAGCTGGTGTCTCTAGCCGATGCTGGACCCGCACTGGATTCCCTTCGCGATGCCTCCAATTGAAGGTTCAGGGACGCGAGACAGTTGTCCTTGGTCTCCAGCTGGGTGTGCAGTTCCTGGACCTTCGCCTCCAGCTGCCTGAGCATGTTCAGGCTGACCAAACTGGAACTGCTGCCTCCAGGCTTAGTAGCTCCTGCTTGCAGCAGCGTTTTTGACTCATCCAAGGACAGCGAAGGTGGATCCTGCTCCTCTTCAATGGTGGTGCTCATGGAGAGCTGTCGTTCGCTCTCCTCGGTGATGTCCTCCAGCACATCCTTGGAGAACTCATTAAGTGGCACTCGCTCCATCTGCTTAAGTTCCAAACTGCCACCAGCTACTTGGGTCTGCTCCGCCTCTGTGGGCGACAGTTTGGGTGCACTGTCTCCCAGCATCTGCTGGTTCATGGCCATCAGACGAAGCTTCATCAGTTGCAAGGAGCTCTCCTCGTCATCCTCATCATCCTCATACTCCTCGCTAGCCTCTAGAATGGTCACCTCCAGGGCCTCCATCAGGTCTGGTTGCAGTTGCAGAGTGGTCAGGGCTTTGGCCGCTTTGTTGTCCATCACTCGGGACTCCAAAAGGGGTGGTAGCTTCAGGGTTTCCGCGGAAGATGTGGGTCTGATAACCTCTCTGGACGGCTCTCCGGGCTCCTCATCCAGATCTGTCACCAAATCTGCTTTCGGTGAGGTGTTTACCGTTTCATCAGCTTCGTAGGTCACTTCTACGGACTCATTGGTGGCCACTATTTCCTCAATTGAGTGATCCTGCTCTTCGGTCCCGTGGCTATCGTCCAAAAGGGTAACCTGGTGCTCACTGGCCTCTGTCTTGTCGTCCCTTCCCTGGCCTGGTTCTTCCACCAATTCGGAGACATCGTCTGTGGTGCTCTGGTTACTCAAA